AAAGAACATGATCAAGAACCCAGAGACAGTAAGACAATGAAGATTTAAAGTCACACACCTGTTTTTCCAACTGCTAGAAAAGCTGTTCTCCTCCATGCCAGTGCAACTCAACTCCAAATCCTTAATTTCCATCTACACTGTTCCTGTCTGAGGCCAGATCCAGACCTGACAAGTGTTAGCCAGCACAGTCTGTGTTATTTTAGTTCTGTGAGAACCACCCTGCCCATCTAAAGGAAGGTGTCCCCTGAATAGTCCACAGCAAAGCTTCTCCACAGAGGCTGACATGGAAGAATGATCCAGAACTTCCCTGACAATTTTGTTTTCTTAGGAGTCATTATTTCCCATGTCTTTCATGCTAGCTTCTCAGCCCACTGTGAATCGGTCTCCTCTGGAGGACGTAGGTGATTCTCTTTACTTGGTGGGCCTTTCTGTATTATGGCTTTTTAATACAAGTTATGGTGAAATAGATAATTTTTCATGTGATTTCTATGTAATATCCTCACTCTAAACATCAAGGGTCATTCTTGCTATCACCATTACAACCCCTACAAAGTCCTGCTATGTGTTCCTTATGTTGACTTTCATTTTGGGCACTCCAAGAGACATTTACAAAAGAAAAAAATTGATTTAGAATTTCCAGGAACATCTCAAAAGTATCCTGTCTAGTTTCTAATATACCTCCCTGATGTGGCCCAGGCATACCAGAGGTGTCAAAAGCCTCTGGTATTCCTTGATCATCTCTCACCTAGAGCGATTACCTATTATGTTTTCCAGCAACAGGAGAAAAGAAACGACACATACAGTGATTAAGGCAATATTTTGAAAATATTATTACAGATTGAGAAAATGTTGCACAATAATGATCATCCACCCCCCATTAGTAAGTAAAGCCCAAATTTAATTGGTAAATATATTTAACTTAAGGCAATGAAGTTGTTTCTCCAGGAAAGCAAGTTGCAGAGTGCATTTTAATGTTAATAAATGAGTGAATTATAATAATAGCAGCAACTGCTTGCCCAAGACCTTCCTTCCTTCCTCGAGGCAAGATACACCTGCCTCTCCTCCAGGATCTGCAGGTGTGCATTGTGTCTACCGTGTTCTTCCAGTATAGGAATGACCAGCAGTAGACACACATTCCTTTTCAGTTCCCCAACAGGTTCAATAGAAAATAATTAAAAGATGTAAGCAGCAAATCCTCATTCTTAAAGCTATGCTGCCAAAGTGCACAGTAGGAACCTTTCTTCCTCACCAGGATCAAAGGTTACAGACAGAGAAAGAAAGAAAAAAAGATCTGTAAAGGCTGGAAGGTTAGAAACCTTGGCTCCCAGATAGCAGACGTCACCCCTTTCCTTTTTTACTACTCATGTGCCCATGCCCTGGTCCTGCTGATCTGGGAACAGCAAAGAATGCACCAGGGAGCTGGGATTAGACTGGAGACAACAAGAATCTTGTGGACCCCTCGGTCACCTCCTGACACTGACAGTGTGTTGTCTGTGATTAGGTACCCTGAACCTGTTGGAGGCCTGTGTCCAGGCTAGTGTGCCAGCCTTCATCTACACCAGCTCAATTGATGTTGCGGGGCCCAACTCCTACAAGGAAATCGTCCTAAATGGCCATGAGGAACAACAGCATGAAAGCACATGGTCTGATCCATACCCATACAGCAAAAAGATGGCTGAGAAGGCAGTGCTGGCAGCCAATGGGTCCTCCCTGAAAAATGGTGGCACTTTGCATACTTGTGCCTTAAGGCCTATGTACATCTATGGAGAGAAAAGTCCATTAATTTCTGTCACAATAATCAGGGCCGTCAAAAATAGTGGTATTCTGGATGTTACTGGAAAATTCTCCACAGTCAACCCAGTGTATGTGAATAATGCAGCCTGGGCACACATTCTGGCTGCCAGGGGCCTACAAGACCCCAGGAAGTCACCAAACATCCAAGGACAGTTCTACTACATCTCAGATGACACCCCTCACCAAAGCTATGATGATTTAAATTACGTCCTGAGCAAGGACTGGGGCCTCCGCCCTGATTCCAGTTGGAGACCTCCTGTGGCCCTGCTGTACTGGCTTGGCTTCCTGCTGGAATTGGTGAGCTTCCTGCTGCGTCCGGTCTACAACTACCAGCCTCCCTTCAACCGACACTTGGTCACACTCTCAAATACTGTGTTCACCTTCTCCTACAAGAAAGCTCAGCGAGATCTGGGCTATGAGCCCCTTGTCGGCTGGGAGGAAGCCAGGGAGAACACTTCAGAGTGGATCGGGTCACTGGTGGAGCAGCACAAGGGAACACTGAACACAAAGGCTCAGTGATGTGACTGGCGATGGCGGGAACATGACCTGGGTGCTGTCAGGAAATAGTTGTCAGGTTCTCCAGAAGAGACAGAGGCACAACCCAGGTCTTACTGCCTCCCTTTGACACAGAGATCAACTTAGTGTCTTCCTCAAGACACCAGCAGCTGGTCCCTGACCCAGCCACAGGGTTTCTTCCCTCCACACCTGCCCAGTGACACACATGTGGCTGTGCCTCAGCTGCTGTGACCTGTGACAACAGGCTTCAGCAATTGCAATTTCCTGTCACATAGAGTTCAGTATTGGTTTTCTTTGCACTCTCAAGTTCTATATCATATCCTGCCTTTGAGAAAATCCCATTGCTTTATGAAGCTCAACAGAAATAGAAATAAATATTGCAATACCTTATCTGGAAGTAGCATCTTTCTGTTATTTGGCATTGTTATGATCTCCCTTCCATAGCCAGGGTTGGCCCTTCCAAACACAAATGGAACCTAGAACTGACATTTACTCACAGGAAGTATGAATTTGAGATTGGGCTTAACCAAGCAGGTAGACACTAACTACATGATTGACATCAATTACCTCATTTCACACCTCCAAGATAGGAAGCAGGGATTCCCATTTCTATGACATATATGAGATATCTTCCTCTCCACCCCCACTATTGGGTTGATGGAAAGTTCACTTCACCGGAGAGAATGAAGTGAAACGCCTCACCTTCCCACTATACCTTGCAGCCTGCACTTCCCTTTTATAGGGAAAGCAGTCCTGAAGAGCAGACTGCCCTCCTTGGCAGAGCTCCAACTCTATTGGCCTCCTCTCTGCCTACCTATACTTACACACAAGGCTTCCCAGAACCTTGAGGAGTACATGGGAAACTGTGTACTCCTTAACAAATGGCCCTGGAGAGTGGGGGCCAGAAGTAGGAGAAAGTCTCAGCCACTACCTCCAATGTCAGTGTCCTGGAAGATTCTAGAACACACCTAGATATATTTGTGACAGGTATTTTAGTCATTAATAGCCCCAAATTTCTGTCTTAAAATCTATACAATAAAGATAAACCTAAGTTCCTGGAAGGTTAAAAGGAACAAAGCAGATTCAATGAAGCATGTGTTTCTACTCAGCCTAGAATCTGGAAGACAACCCCATCTGGGATTTAATTCCACTCTTTCCATTTTTCATGGTTGCATCTCATTTCTGCAGGGCCTCTGCTGACATTGTGCCTTTTAATTTACTCCCATTTCTCCCCTTATCCTTTTCAATATTCTCTGAGGAGAGGAAGCCAGTCAGGAAAAGTGTAGTAACCCAAATGAGAGCACAGCTATTAACTAACAATTAACCTGGGTGTAGCTGTAGACCAGAAGGTATATAATGTTTGAGAAAGGTCATATCTGATTGCAATACCCTGTCTGGACATTGGCCTGCATGATTGTAGATTTGTGGGATTCCACAATTGTAAGAGGAAGGGAAAATGACCCAAGTAGATGCATTGAAGCCTCCAAAAGCCCATGTGGGAAAGAGCATGATCCTGAGCCAGCAAGGAAAACATGTCTGAACAGCGGAGAGAATTCAGCTGCAGAAGTAGAAGAGATACCTACAATGGCATAAGAGACACAGACATTGATATAAAAATCCTAAGAAGAAAACAAAAGTCACTAAGTAACAATTAAGGTATCAACCCAATAAACATATAAATTGTATAGTGATAATCACCTAGTGTCAAAGCATACATGTTTATAAAAGCAAAAGCAGGGAGAAGACCTAAGTGTCTCTATAGATTTGCTCATTTCTTTGAAGTGTGAAATCTGTTGCAAGTAATCTATAGTTTTATACTATATTTCTGTAGTATCACTTGTAGTATCTCCTTTGGCATATTTAAGCACAGCACAACTTGGTGAAAAACCTCCTGGTGATAAATAACTCAACCGTGTGCACAGTAGCATGAATACATCAAAACCCCTTGTAAAATACTTGTGACATCTTCCAACTAGCTACTGGAGCAGGAGACATCTACCAGTGGTCATGGTCATACATTCACAATTTAATCTCAGTCTGAAAACCTTCTCCAGGCTCTAAAATGTACCTAACCTAAAAGGGGTCAGTGCAAAGACAACCACCAGCCCTCTTGTACTCTCTTGAATCCTAGGAATCCTAGTGCTCTCCCGCTTGTCCCCCTCCCCTGCCACCTGCCTCCGAGCTGTCTCCTAGTCAACAAACACAGCTACTTTAACTTCTTGCTGTTCACACTTGTGGCCTTCGAAGCACTGTGCCTAGCTCCACCCTTAATCCTAACAGGATCGGACCATCACTATTAAAAAGCATTTCAAAGTTAGATTTATCTATAGTTAAAGATAAAAAAAACAGATGTCATAGGACAAGTAAGGGACCTTCCCAGTCTTATGGGGACCCCTTGCTACAAGATGTTTTAGCTTCGTTTTAAGTTAATGAAATCTATTTTCTTTTGTACCTTTAGGTGCAAAAGATGTTCTCTTTAGTTCAGGAGTAGCCTTCCCCCAAAAGAAGTTCCCCTCACCTGTTTCTGACACAGGAGACACCTAATTATGACTGGTTTTAGTGTCAATTTGTCACTCAAGGAAGTATCCTGATTACCTTGACTGCTGTGGGAGGCCCCACCCTAATTGTGGGAGGGAACCTCTGGTAGCAGCCCGCATAATAAAAAGTCCTGTCGGGAGAACATCTGATCTGTTGCTGCTTTTGCTTCCCCCTTGCATCTGAGTTGATTGCTGCTGGCCTCTCTGCAGATAGCAGAAACCAGCTTCTCCAAGCTTGCATCGTGCTCTAGGAACCATCTGGGTCTCAAGAACCTTCCCCATTTCCAACTCCAGGTTGTGACTGCTGACACATCTGCCTTGTGGCTGAGTAAGTACAGTTTGTCTCCCTGTAATGAGTAACGGCTATTGTGGAAGTATTCCAATTGTTGAGGCATTTAGCCTTAAGGACCAAGTAATCACTAGTTTCTGAAGTATGATTTATCTGTTCTTAATATTTTAAAGCTGATTTAATAAAAATATCTGAGACATAGATACATGATAGAGATAGATAGACAGACAGACAAACAGACAGAGAGACACACAGACATCCTCTTGGTTCTGTTCCTGTATATACCCTTTAACTAAAACACACCAGCTATCTAGCTATACAATCACTAACTGCCAAACGCGCTATTTGTAAATGGTATCATCTACCATCAACTATAGCATTCTATAACCAGAACTTCTACACTAAAAGCATGAACGGTGGACTGGAGCAGCCAACCTAACATAGCAATTAAAGAGGCAAGTAATTGCTAAAAATGTGTGTGTGTGTGTGTGTGTGTGTGTATCTTCAACATGGCTCGGGGGGGGGGGGGAGAAAAACAGATCAGAGTGTTCAGTGACCCCAAGTCCATCTTTGTGGTATTCCTATGAGCTTATGGTAAACAGAGAAAGCCACAGTTAAACATAATTAAGCCACGTATGTCAAGATGTGATCTAAGTTATCATTGTCTCAGTCCAGTTTCTTCAGTGTTGCCCAAGGAAACCCTTCCTGCTTAAGATAGCAAGGTGATTCTCAGAAATTGATTGCTCACTGTCATGGGTAGTTGCCCTCCTCTTTTGTTGATATATAATACCAATATATCAGAGAAAATTCAATATATTAGAGGAAACAAATATATTACTGTTATATCCTGAGAGGTGCCTGGGAAGCACACAGCTGTAGGTAGCCCTTTCTTCATTCCTTTTCTCGTCCTGTAGGTCCCATCTCAAGATCATTTATTAAAAATTATCACTGCACTTTAGAGATGGCTACAGCACCTGGAGAAGAGTGTCCCTGTGTGCACAGAAACACAAAAACTAATAAGAAAGGGTGAAACATTCCATTGTTTGGTCATTATTAGCAGAGAATGTTGAGTCAGACTCATGCAAAAAATCCCTGGCATGAAAGGAAAGGACCAGAGCTGTGGGTGAGAAAAAGGCAGGATGGAGTTCAGAACTCCATGTGTTTAACCTCAGGCCTCTGCCGTCAGCAGTGCCTCCAAGTAAAATTACAGAAGGACTACAGGGGTTATCTTTCTGTCTCTTGGTCACCAAAAACATATTCCATTAAAGGGAAAGGCAATAGCAAGAAATGGTAGAAGCAGGAATGTGTGAAGTGAAGGAATTCTTTCATTTGTGTTATCCAAATGGATTGTGGAGTAGCTGGCTGAGTGATGTAATTTTTAAAAGCTGTGCGGTGGCGAACACACTAAGGTTAGTCCAGGACCTATAGCTGCAGAAGGCAGTCTCTACCTAGCAAACACTGACTCTAGGTTATCCCCCAAGTGGGTAAGTAGCCTCCTGGACTAGATAAAAGGCACTCAGGTCATTAATTTGACACTAAAACATTAAAATATAAGAGATGATAAGGCTATAAAAGCAGTTCATGGAACTCAGGGAAATGTTTACTTTATTGACTACAAAAGGTGAGGCATGAAGGTGAGGAGTTTCTATGCCCTTGGGGAATACCCCCAGAAACCTCTACAGGTTCAGTGACCTGGAAACACAGAGATGATAGAGTTACAGACTTGAATTGTTTAAACTGGCTTTATAGGATAAGCTGAGCCATTTTTTTTCCTTGGGTGTTGGTTGAGAAGGGTGTGGTCTCTAGCCGAGCAGTGTTCCCTGAGGAGGTCCTCTTAGACCAAAATAGCTCAGTGGAGGCTAAGTGGAAAAGACGGTGCGATAAAGACAAAGTTCACAGAACAGGTATCTTTTTCCAGAACCTTTCCAGACGTTGTTATCTTTTTATTTAAATTAAAAACAATCTTATTTTACATATATATCCCAGTTCCCTCTCCCTCCCATCCTCCCATGCCACTCACCGACCCCCCATCCACTCCCCAGGTAGGATGAGGCCTTCCATGGGGGATCATGAAAATCTCAGATGTCCTTATTTTATGTATGGTAAGTCTGTGGCAATTTTGGAAGCACGGATGAAATATGGGTTTGCAACAGGCATCTGGGTAAAGGAGAAATCTTGGGACACAATTACACCCTGTGAGTCTGACAGTTTCAGGGTACACATTGAAATATATTGCTTGGCCCTATGGAGAAATTTCCCCATGTCTTACAATTTCTGTTATAAGAGGTTGCATGAATAACCACCGGCTCTCTCTTTCTAGCCATCTCCAGAATCACCCTACATTACCCGCTGCCCTCGCTGGATCTGTTTCCTGTGTTGGCCATGCCTGGATGGAGCTGCTTGGTGACAGGGGCTGGAGGGTTTCTGGGGCAAAGGATTATCCACTTGCTGGTACAGGAGAAGGATCTGGAAGAGGTCAGACTCCTGGACAAGGTGTTCAGACCAGAAACCAGGGAGGAATTCTTCAGTAAGTCAACTTGAGGATTTGGCATGTAATGGCATAACAACCGATGTCAAGGTTCAGGGAGGGCTCCTCCCTTGTCCAGTACATAAAAACACTTGGAGCCATAGCACTTCTCCATGTCCACATTCATCAGGAGGAAACAGACCACACAGCACGAAGGACACTGTCTAGGTGGGGAAGACTGAGTTCGGATGAATGGGTTCTCTCTCCCTTTCCTGTAGTTCTTTAAAAGTGGACTTGCCAGTTGCTGGGTAATATCCAAAAAGATCATTAAGCTGGAGGGTTCAAACACTAGCTCCCAGTCTCTCCTAATCGCTACTGGTCTAGTTGTTTGTTTCCGTCAGGTTTGCTCTGTTGGGGGGGGTTGTCATTCATTTAGCATCTTGGGTAGAGGTCAAATAAAACGAGTAAAAAGATATGAAAGGGAGAGAAATGTACAGAGAGCAGGGACAGGCAGACAGGAAGATACAGAGAATGAGATTGAGAAAGAGAATTTCTGAGCAAATGCATGAAGTATACCAAGGGACCGACATGAAGCCAGCATGAGCAGGACTGTCCATACCTCACCTGGATTGTTCATGCATGTTTCTCCCCATTCCTCACTGGAATTTGTCATCACTAAGACTAAGACTGCAGAATTCACTGAGGTAGGCCATTACTCCTTTGCCAATTTGTTCTCTCAGGTACAACTGGACCACCTGATCTCATGGAATATTTTATCACCTATTCGACCCCCAGGTCATTAAAAGAAACTTTCAGGGAAAGTAGGAAAGAATACTCACTCACCTGGACAGCAAGGACTTTGAGTTGTGAAAAGAAACATGACTATAGCAACATCATATGACTAGTGAGGATCACAGAAGAAGACAGAGGTCCCTCACTTAAACTCCATTATTTTGTCCAGGGGCCAGTTCTTAGCCCCAAAGTCTTCAGTGTTTCCCACTGTCTGTGTATGACTCAAGCTACTTCTTTGCCACCTCCTCAGCTTCAAGTGTAAATGCACACCACCTAGGGACCTGCCCTGCACGCAGGGTCCTCCATAGCACCTGATACAACACCCACCCTCTATGCCACTTCTTTGTCTCTGACTACTTCCAATGTCAATTTCCTCCTCTATCAGCTTGAAGGATGCTTCCAGAAACCCATTAGCACACAGCCAATTCTATTAGTTATAATCCCAATGTCTCAGAAATATTTGTAAATAGTCAAAGCTTGGTTTGGAGGAACAGTCCCATAGTGAGTACTGTCTGGGGTAATGGATAGAGAAGGCCACGCATAAAGGTAAATGTGGAGATTCCTGTAAATATGCTTTCTGTGCCGGGCTCTGCGGCACATGCTGTGGTGACAACTCATTAACTCTGTGTAACATTCGTGAAATGCAGTTAGTGACTCTGTCCTCTCCTCCTGTAAATAGTTAACAGAGATTAAGTGGTTTACCCAAAGACCGTAGCCAAACTGAGCAAATTGAATTGAAGCCCAGGAAGTCTATCTGCAGCCTTTATACGTTAATGTTCAGTGTGGTTAGGCGCTTCTCTGGGTCTCCTCTCTCTCTGACACAGTTCACATGATAGCAACACTCCAACATGCTGCTGTGAAAATGTTTGCCACACCCAGGTGTCCTAGATAAGATTTCAGCTATGGCTACACCGGAAAACACTTGAAGAGACCTCTCCTCGGATCTCAGGGACCCCAAGTAGCTCATGGATGACAGTCTATTTCAATACAGGTCTAGATCCCTCCTGTCTTGTCACAGCAACATCCCTGTGCCAGCTTGTCCAAATCAGTAGCAAAGGGGAAGAAAGGCAGAATGGGCAGATAGGGTCACAATCCGAGAATCCAACCCTCAGGCGTGTACCTGCTTCCTCCTGAGCAGTTTCTTGCTTGCCTCTACTTCAGGGCTTTCCTAGGGTTACATGATGAGAGGAGGGAGCCTGGATAGGACACACTTAGTAGAGAATTAGGGGCAAGCCATTCTATGTGTGTCTCTGGAGATACTGCTTCAGGCCTGGATTTCTCCTGCCATTCTTGCTGCTCCTTGGCTTCCTTGGCAACTTCAGTTCAGTGGAATGACTTTAATCTGTCTCTATAAAATTAATTCCATGCCACCCTAGAGAATGGGCTCATGACACAGGCAGAGACAGTACAAGTGAAGTATCCTCAGCCAGGGTAGCCATAACTGTGTCCCAGACTTCTTGAGCCTCACTTTCCTCGTCTATCAAGTAGGATCCAGAGGACCAGTCTCTAGGAAGAATGGGAAGGAGGAAGGAAGGAAGGAAGGAAGGAAGGATAGAAGGAAGGAAGGAAGTTAGTCGTAAAGTTGGGTATAAATTAATAAGCCAAAGAAAATGTAGGGCACTGGTAAAGACCGCATGTGGCACACAGTTCATTTTGTGAGTTGGGTGACAAAATAATAGGCAGTGCTACCTGTGGGTTTCAGAAAACCCAAAGATATTGACACTGTACTGTTAACTATTCTTTTCGTGCTTAACACAGACCCAGAAAATACCAGACTCTGGCATGGGGGGAGGGGGATGGTGCATGAGGGGAAGAGGGCGACACACCTAACGTTCATACATGTGTGACTTCTTCTCTGCTCCTACTGATAGGAATGGGGACTTCCCAATCATATCCCTAGAATAGACACTCTAATTGTTAATGTCACCTCTACCCAGACCCACCCCCCCATCCCCTGTTACCTCTGGAGTCTCTTTGATGAATGGATAAGCCTCCCACCACTCTCTTGAACAAGTTTCATGCCCCAGACATGTTTGGTTGTTTCCCAATCTGCTTTTCCTTCCTTCCATATATTAGGCTTCCTCACATTTCCCCCACTATGACAATTCTTTTTGTTTTTTTGTTTTTTGTTTTTGGTTTTATGAGACAGAGCTTCTCTGTATTGTTTTGGAGGCTGTCGGTCCAGCCCGGCCTCAAACTCACAGAGATCCGCCTGCCTCTGCCTCCGGAGAACTGGGATTAAGGGCGTGCACCACCACTGCGCGGCCCACAATGACGATTCTTGATGACCTTGGTAACTGACACCTGTGTACAGGGACCACCCCAGCCCACAGACAAGCTTCCCAATGACCTGTCTTGTGTTCTACACAGAGCTGCAGACAAAGACCAAGGTGACAGTGATGGAGGGTGACATTCTGGATGCCCAGTGCCTGAGGAGAGCCTGCCAGGGCATCTCCGTTGTCATCCACACTGCTGCTGCCATTGACGTCTGGGGTATCATTCCCAGACAGACCATCATAGATATCAATGTGAAAGGTAAGGTATCTGTAAAGAAGGTGAAAGGCGGGGAGTTGAAAATGTCAGTCCAGATGAGGACGGGTTGTTCTCAACACAGAACACCTGTTGGACTCTCAGTCTACTGCCTCTGCTCACTGGACCCAGATGGAACTACTCAGGGCTATGACATGGCTGAGTCACAGCAGGTAGAAAGTAGGAGGCCTAGGATGTAAAGCTTTCCAACTTCAAGGAAAGCTCTTCCATTGTCCTCTATGCCAAGGATTCCATTCCAAGGAGACTAGACCCCAATTCCAGGCAGTTGACAACCATTCACCCATTGCCTCCCATGGTCCAGACCTAGACTAGAATACTCTGAATGCTGTTATTCTGAGAGAGCATGGGGCCTCACAATGTTCTGCCATTACTAGGATTCCCATCAGGGAACACACAGTCCCTTTTAGTTTTCTACTAAGAAGAACAGATGAGAACAGTCAGTTCTGGGTTCCAGAATGAAAATTAGAAGGGATATTTATCACCTCTCCTTTGAATAACTGAGTAAATAAAGTCATAGATAGAACCAAGAATGCTTTCACATTGTTTATACAAAAAATGACACAGCTGTGGCTCTACTTCTCTCCAAACCCAATAATCACTTCTTCCCTGACTCAGGCTAGTTGTCCTTGTGACAGTTTGGATTCTTACCAAATGACAAAAAAAATGTAGCTATGAACACAACTCTGTTGAGCTTGCATGATGTTAATTCTTAAACAGTTCTGAGTTAAAAAGAACTACTCTTGTACATAGTCTAAGAATAGGATCTGCTTTTGTACATTTAAGAAGCATGCATGAATTTATATGGTTAAATTATAAGTATCTCATGGACACATTAGGAATGGATAAACAAGAAACCTTAGGTGCCTTTGAAAATAAAAGGAAACCCAATTACACCCAGTTTTGCATACAAACACTCTTAGGGCTGTGAACACAAAAACCTGGAGATTCTTGCTGTCTGGAATCCACCTGTTGTCCCCAGGTTATGCCATGGTGGCTGCGTATCCAGGAAGCAGGAAATGCATGCTGATCTGTAAAGGTTTCTCTATTAGACTAGAAGATGGAAACAGTCATGAAGCTGTGCACATGGTAAATCTGCTGGCTTATCCACCTCCTGACACTGACAGTGTGTTGTCTGTGATTAGGTACCCTGAACCTGTTGGAGGCCTGTGTCCAGGCTAGTGTGCCAGCCTTCATCTACACCAGCTCAATTGATGTTGCGGGGCCCAACTCCTACAAGGAAATCGTCCTAAATGGCCATGAGGAACAACAGCATGAAAGCACATGGTCTGATCCATACCCATACAGCAAAAAGATGGCTGAGAAGGCAGTGCTGGCAGCCAATGGGTCCACCCTGAAAAATGGTGGCACTTTGCATACTTGTGCCTTAAGGCCTATGTACATCTATGGGGAAAAAAGCTCATTACTTTCAGGGATAATGATTAGGGCCATCAAAAATAATGGTATTCTGAATGTTACTGGAAAATTCTCCACAGTCAACCCAGTGTATGTGAGTAATGCAGCCTGGGCACACATTCTGGCTGCCAGGGGCCTACAAGACCCCAGGAAGTCACCAAACATCCAAGGACAGTTCTACTACATCTCAGATGACACCCCTTACCAAAGCTATGATGATTTAAATTATGCCCTGAGCAAGGACTGGGGCCTCCGCCCTGATTCCAGTTGGAGTCCTCCTGTGGCCCTGCTGTACTGGCTTGGCTTCCTGCTGGAATTGGTGAGCTTCCTGCTGCGTCCAGTCTACAACTACCAGCCTCCCTTCAACCGACACTTGGTCACACTCTCAAATACTGTGTTCACCTTCTCCTACAAGAAAGCTCAGCGAGATCTGGGCTATGAGCCCCTTGTCAGCTGGGAGGAAGCCAGGGAGAACACTTCAGAGTGGATCGGGTCACTGGTGGAGCAGCACAAGGGAACACTGAACACAAAGGCTCAGTGATGTGACTGGCGATGGCGGGAACATGACCTGGGTGCTGTCAGGAAATAGTTGTCAGGTTCTCCAGAAGAGACAGAGGCACAACCCAGGTCTTACTGCCTCCCTTTGACACAGAGATCAACGTAGTGTCTTCCTCAAGACACCAGCAGCTGGTCCCTGACCCAGCCACAGGGTTTCTTCCCTCCACACCTGCCCAGTGACACACATGTGGCTGTGCCTCAGCTTCTAGTTCCAAAATATTCAGCACCTCTTGTACCTTAGAGCTCTCTCCATTGGCTACATCTCCCCCACAAAAAGCATTTCTTACCTTTGGAAAATTCCCATTACTTTATGAAGTGCAATCAAAGGAGCAATAAATATTTGTTAATACCTCATCTGCAGAAGGTATTTTTCTATTCTAACTCCCCACCCCCACCCCTGTCCAGAGAAGGCCATTAGAGGATTAGAAAGTGTTGGGGAAGTCCTGTGTATATGTCAATAAAGCACTGTCTGGCCAATAGGAATCTAGACAGGTGGGGCTAGGAGTCCAGGAGGATTCTGGGAAGGAGAAACACAGGAGAGTTCGAGATGTAACGCCATGGGGTAGGATCCCGGAACTATTCTCCGGTAAGAGACATACTTAGATTAACAATTATGGGGTAATTACTTAAGTCAGAGCTAGCCAGTAAGAAACAAGCAAGGCCAACAGCTTCATAATTAATATAGCCTCCTGTGTGTTTATTTGGGACTGATGCGGCTCTAGAACCAGGCTGGTGGGAAGGCCCCTATCAAAAGAAAAAGCTTCTCATAACAAAATGGTTGTCAGGAGCGGGATTGAATTTCCACGCAAAATAACAAAAGATTTAAAGGAATTTTAGAAACAGAGAGAAGCACAAAATTTTGGTAGCAGCATTTTTCTCAGGTGTTTTGCTAGCCACAAGCCGAGATTCACGCGGCACGCTTAATGGAGTCTTCCTGACTTGGCATAAAAAGAAAAAAAACCAGCAAGGTTGTTTTAAGAGACTCTGCTAACGACTGAAAGGTGTGTACGTACAGCTGGAAGTGGCAGCATTTGCTGGATGTCAGCATGGACTGAGGCGGTAAGCTGGAATCATGCTTACGCCCGCCATCTTGAAAAAAAAATGTCAGTTTAAAACAGCAGCGGGTTTAACAGATAAGACACATGGCCAGAAAAACATAAAGATTTACTGTAAAGTCAGACTTGGATAAAGGAAAGCCTCTAAAGGTTTACAGTGTGTTTATAAATATACGTGAGATTGAGAGAGAAAATGAAACGGCAAAGTGGTAAATAAATACAAAAGCTGGCATTGTGGTGGCACACGCCGGTAGGATTTACTCCAGAGGCAGAGGCAGGCAGATTTCCAAAGAGAAATCCTGTCTCAAAGAAAAATAAATAAAAGTAAAATAAATAAAGTAATAATAGATAAATAAATAAGCCACGTAAAGATGGAAAATACACAGAGAGTCTGGATACTGTATGCTATTGTGTTTTTCAGTTTTTTGCTTGCTCAGGAGGGAACTGCTACTAAAGTACACTTGATTATAAATGCTGCTAAATTAATCTGCCTTCTATCTTTTAAAAATGCTTTGACTTCAAAATTTAAGTATAAGATTATGTTACTTGGGAAAGGAGATTTTACTTATGTGTCTACAGAAAATGAAAAGCTGAGGATTCCTTCCAGGCTTCTGTGGTTTGACGAACCAAGACCCCCGGAAGCAGTGGACCAGGTGTTCCAACAATTGAGACAGCTAAGATGATGCAGCCTTATAGACCCCGAAAATATGGACTTATACAGGTTTCTGAGTTTTGTCATGATCCCCATGGTATGAACAGCGCCCCCTTCCAGCAGGAAGCAGTTTGGAATGAGCGACGTCCTAATTCCCATCTTGTTTATAAATCTTTGTTTTCATTTAAAGGGGTTGTTTATAATTGGCTAATGATCACAGCCGATCTCTTTTTAATGGTAAAAAGGGGAATTATGGTATGGGTATTGTTTTTCATTTATTGATACAAATTCAAGGTCAATTTTGTGATATGTATATTTCTCCTCTTGATTACATATTGTGCTTATACTGATCTTTTAAAATGTAATGCGTAATTAAGTACAGATTATAGATAGTTACTTATAATAGTCAGAATTTATAGTTAGGTAAGTTAGGTTTTCTAGATATACAGAAATATATTAGACATAGACAGTCTTCAAACCTCTCAAAGACCTTCAGAAAATGGCATTTAAAAGGGTTTAGTGTTTTTCTTGACAATGAGAAATGTCTGCTCCTGGCAGCACCAATTATGTCTGAGAGGAAAATGGGCATCGAAGAAACTCGTTATGGAGTTTGCTTTCAACATGGCAAGATTAGCCATTTGGACAAGAAACTGCTCTTGCCTGTACCGCTTGACTGTTGTATAATCTGGACATGCAGGACCCACAGAAAAGTGACTGCTGAACTTAGTCTTACAGGGTTCCTGCTTCATGGAAGAGTCTACCAGACTTTCTGCAGGACACAGAAAAATGACTGACAGACTGACAATGCAGATGGACAGTTTGAAATTTCCTGCTTTGCTAAGAAGTGTTCCAGACACATTGTGGCCTATGGGCTGAAGATGGATGCCCCAACGTTACAGAGGAACTTCGGGTGACTGTCCAGGCAGTGAGATATCTCTGTCAATCCTAGTGTTTATATATTATCCTTCTGTGGTCTTTGATGGAGTTGAAGACAGATAGTTATAATTATAGTTTTCCTTAGTTATGATAAGAGAAAAGCTACATATAGAACTTTGGACTCACAAGGATGGGATGGATGATATTTTTTTAGATCTTGCTAAATGTTAATAGACAAAATGTTGTAACTGTGTTCTTACTTGATAATTGTTCTGTCATATACAATCTGACTATGTTAAAGTTAAGACCTTTCTTTTTGTTTAAACAGAAAAGAGGAGATGTTGGGGAAGTCCTGTGTATATGTCAATAAAGCACTGTCTGGCCAATACGAATCTAGATAGGTGGGGCTAGGAGTCCAGGAGGATTCTGGGAAGGAGAAACACAGGAGAGTTCGAGATGTAACGCCATGGGGTAGGATCCCGGAACTATTCTCCGGTGAGAGACATACTTAGGCTTGGAGGAGAATATCACTACAGGGGACTGAAGAAAATCAGGGCCAGAATAGGGTTAAGAGACTGATCCCAACACATGGTCCTTTGGGGGTATACTAGATGGCCAGATTGCCACATTTTATGTAATAGGGACCTGACATAAGCAATGCTTAAAGTTACAGTATCTCCAGGGGATTCCCTGCTGGGGCTAGGAGGAGGCGCCCTCTAGTGAACATTCTCAGAGTTGCAGTTTTTTCTTACAGCTAAATCTACAGGTATCTGGTGGTTTTTGTTCCCGCTTTCCTATAAAAATGCTGGTATGAGAACAGTACATAAGGGCTAAGAACTTTTCTGCCCCTAGCTCTAGACAGAACTATAAATAAGCCACTCCCCTTTACAAGCTAATGCCTCATAGCATTCTCTTTCTAAAACACAAATAATTGGGTCTCAGATCCCAGACTCCGAGGACCAATTTTTATTTGGCAAACCTAGAGAGTAGAGAGAGGCTTTAGGTTGATGCTCTGGGACCCCCAGCAGTTACTGGGATGGGGCGATTTCCCCATTTCAAGCATGGTGGTACCAACTGCCTGTAAAGGGATACTGGTCAAGAGAATGGGCAAGGGCTCCCGAGTGACCTTAATTAGAAGGAAGCTGTACTGTTGGGTTTGGGATTTCAAAGTTCTCAGTAAATTGTTAGGAATGTATATTCTTCTCACTTAACTTTTCCAGTTTCTAAAAATGTGAAGAGCATGGTTTTTTGTTGTTGTTACTGTTGATGTTGTTGTTCTGTTTTGGGGGGTATGCGGGGGGGGCACCCTGCTCCCAAATAATAGCACTGAGACTTATTCTTACTTATGAATGCCCAACCATAGTTTGGCTTGTTTCTAGCCAGTTTTTTTATTAAATTATTCTATCTACCTTTTGCCTTTGGGCTTTTCTCTTGCTCTATTCTATATACCTTTCTTTCCTTCTTGTTCCATGGCTGGCTGTGTAGCGGGGTGGCTGGCTCCTGGTGTCCTCTCTCCTCCTCTCATTCCTTGATCCTTCTCCTCAGATTTCTCCTCCTATTTCATCTCTCTGCCTGCCAGCCAAGTCTATCCTTTCTCCTGACTAACAATTAGGCCATTCAGCTATTTATTAGACCAATCAGGTGTCTTAGACAGGCACAGAGTTAAACAAATACAACATAAAAGATTTCAACACATTTTTGTATCATTAAACAAATGTTCCACAGCATAAACACATGTAACACATCTTTAACAAATATTCCACAGCAGAAAAGTGCTAGTTTCTTAGAACCTTTTGTAACCAGAGTGGCCCCAGGGCATGGGAACCCATTTTGTAAAGACTTTTGGATAAGAAACATATACACTTAGGATGGCTCTCACGTGCAAGTTTCTTCTCCCTATGCACCAGTAGGCACCAGACTCCAGACTCAAGGCAGATGCTCTCTCCTACTGTGGGTTTAAGATTCCAAGCCCAAGGCTGAACACAGCATTGGCGCTCTCTCCCTTGAGTGTGCAAGGAAACTTACTTGGGTCTTTTGTGTTCTATAAATCTGTTAGAAATGCCCTGAAAGTGGGTATGACAAACAGAAATCAGAGGCTTGGGGGGTTGTTCGAGTGTAAGCTTTAGCCAAAGCCTAATCTGTTCTGCCCCTACCTCAAGGAATTGAAAACACGAACTCACTTTTTAATCAGATTGTGTTCTGAAACCACCTGGGCATTCTAAGTCCATGTGATGCTCTTGACATGCTACTTTTTGTCTGAATCAGTGTAAACAGACCCGATGAGGAAAGAACAGCTGGGCATTGGTGGCTCACGCCTTTAATCCCAGCACTAGGGAGGCAGAGGCAGGCTGATCGCTGTGAGTTGAGACCAGCCTGGTCTAAAAGAGATAGTTCCAGGACATCCTCCAAAACCACAGAGGAGCCCTGTCACAAAAAACAAAAGACAGAGAGAGAGAAAAAATGTAGCCACAACAGTTCTGTTAGAAGGGAGACAAATGTACCCTGAAGCCCACTCTGGTAATGAGGGACAAGGCCATTGATAGAAATCCACCTGTCTCTACCTCCTGAGTGAAAGGATTAAAGGCATTTGCCATTACCCAAATTGTCATTTTTAAAACTGTGTTGACAAACCATAGAATAGAAATAATTTGTTCTTTTCCAGAATCAAAGTCCCAGGATTACGCACACACACAGACACAGAGCGAGAGAGAGAGAGAGAGAGAGAGAGAGAGAGAGAGAGAGAGAGAGCGAGACAGAGACAGAGACAGA